CGCTGGTGGCTAAACTTAGATAGGCCTAAGACTGCACTCTCTCTTGGATGAGGACACTGCTTTGGAGTATAGTCAACGGAAGAAGTAAGTGTGAGAAATTAACGCTATGATCGTGTAGTAGGGCCTCAGATTCCTTAAGCTCCTTGAAGTTGGTTTGGCTTGCTTAAAGTGAGACTTCATTCAGTGATACTTAGTAAAGTGAGACCCTGTTTTCTGGCAATGATGTCATGTGTTCTCCTTGCATCAAACTGTTTACTATTTTATACGCCTACTCAAATGTCGCTACATGGAAAACATTGGAAGCAACCATAACTACGGACGTAGTAGAGAATATTTCTTTAATAACTTCTTCTAAATGCAGCCCAATTGCAAGATGATGTTAGGCCAACTCATAAAGCAAATGTTCTTCCGTTCGTTAATGGCAACTCGAATTCAAGTGCCCAAGACACGTGCCAATTAATGTATCTACCCTTCTCTTAACTGAGAATGCCTCGCGATTATTATTGTCAAAACGAATTCACTTATGAAAATAATTTGATAAATTTGATCCATTACATTACACTCTTCAAACCTTATAATAGTTGAATTTCTTGGCTGTAAGATTACGTTAGTGCAAATTTTGCATTAAACGTGTAAAGGGACGAATACACAAGCGGAGAAAAAGCCTTTTTCCAGCTAAAATATGTTTCGTCCACAATATTTTTTAGAAAAATCCCTCACTAAAACAGAAAATGAGCAAAATTAGGCAGAAGTAAATATAATTTTGAATATTCATTCTCTATTAATCTTAAGTTCCAATGCAGAAATCATCATAATTATTTAGTAAATCTTGTTACTTTGCCTTCATCTGGCATTACATGCACTCCAATGACTTCGTATAATTCGACACAGGCCAGCCATTGGGGACTCCACTAAAAATGTCAAGAAATTTTTCAATCTCATACCAATCTGTAATACATTGTACTTTCTCACTTTGTCATTATGTCACTAAATTAGTTATGCGGTAATACTTCTGAAAATTCAGTGTCGAAGTCAGTCTGACTGCTGGAAATATTAATTTCTGATATCCTCATGATAAACAGTTGTATCTGGGCTGTCATTGTTGACTTCTGCGGGCGCCGAGATTTTGACCACCTTTATGGTACCCAGGGCCTCACTGACGACCAGTTTGCCTGAACCTGGAACGCCGATGGCGACAGCGATTGGGTGCCAGACGTGTTCTCCCGATTTGTTGACAAGCGCCTCCATGTTACCGAGGCCGAATTGACCGGACCGGCCGAATTTACTAGTCGACAATGTTCTAAAACCTTTGCCTCCACCTCTTGTTCCATCCAAGTCTGCCAATGTGACTCCACTTGCACGAGATACTTCAGGGAAGCCAAACGTAGTGAAACCTGGATTGACCCTACAAGCTTGGATCCTGTGATTGACGTGATCGGCAACCAGAAGCCGACGAGTCCAGGCATCATATGCTACGCCATATGGTTGCAACATCTAAAAAGTTGACAAATATGGCCAAAAATGTTTGTCGCATTAGACTACATAATAAGCAAAATTGAAGCCATTTCAGAGCTGTGCCACTCGTAATCTGAAATTATTCATCACTTTCCATCGCCTGATGAAACACAAAGGTTTCGACAGAATAAAAGCTATGAACCAGGATTAATACTAGATAATATGCATCAAAAGTATCTCAAGCATACGGCCGTAAAAATGAGTTCAAAATCTTGCTAAGGATTTGACATGATGACTGATTTCGCAGAAGCATATGAGAAAAGTATACATCTATGATATAACTCAACCACATTTAAGATGATAAAAAGAGAAATAGGTTTTTAAGAGATAGTCATATTCAGAGCGAGCTAGAGATGGAGAAAGTAGTAGCAGTAGTTGAATAAATTCTGTACTTTGTTATTAAGCATTAAGTTATTAGAGCTGAACGTCATTTGGCAGGGGACGATTTGCTAAGACAGACTTTTTACCTCACCGAAATCATAACTGATTGGTAAAGTAGGGCATAATATTAACGTCTCTTCAAAGGATGGCAATGGCTTTAAAAACATTTAATTTTAAATTTTCTTTTTTAACTACGGTTTCGAGACTACCTGTAAATCAGTTATATGATATTTATTAGCCATATTTCATTTAAGGTGATAAAGGACCGATTGTTAACTTTTTTCCACAATGATATGAGTAGAGCTGACGTTTCTATTGAATTCCACGTAGCCTTGCTTTCCCAAAAGCTGTTCTCATCCAAGAGGGACTGTATTTTCGACCACGCCTAAGTCTTATCAACACTCCCAGCTGGAATCGAACCATGACAGTACAGCCTATACTCTCAACACATTAACCACTACGCCATGTTCGAAACGAAATAGGATAAGTACATCTCATATATTACCTTTGAGTGTAATATGAGGTAATTTTACTGGACTCCTCAGCTTAAGGCATACATTCGATTCACATTGACGTGAATATTCCAAAGTTAAAGCTCCAGAGAAATTATGGAAAGACCTGCGGAGAGGTATGTTTTCGATTCAATGATAGGTATTAATCATCTGAATAGAGATATCTTCTTAAAGTTAAGGTTGAATTACGCCAACCCAATCTACGGACCTTGGAGCTTCCTTTGCAAACTCAGTAGAGCAGTAGAATACTGAACTATAAGGCTGATTTTGGATAGGCGGTATCGAAAAATGGCATCTGCTCAGATCCATTAAATTAGCCAAGAATTAAATCGATGTATGCTCATATCAACTCGCGTGACCACTTTCATGGGTGGTTTTCAGAAAGTATTGCTATATCTACATATGTTGGGGGGACTTTAATATCGCATGAAAGCGCGTGCTAAAGAGAGATTTATGAGAAGATGATGTCCATCATATGATGTACGAATGCTTGGCCCGATTTTGCCCGGAACTAGGGAGGACGTTTTGTGAACTGCATTGACATAAATGCCATATTAAGGTCAAACGAATGCAGAGCAGCGGAAATCGGTCTTCGTCTTCCGGTGAGATCAATCAAAGAATCTCTTAATCATTCACTTTCCTATAAAATGTTGCCTTAAGGGATTCATGGAAGTTCAGCTACTTTTCCTATCTACGTAGCATAGGCTCGATGTTCACGCCAAACATGACCAGAACCAAAACTCTGAGCAATTGTAAACATAAAAGCAACTCAAATGATCATAATTTCGTTAGTATACAGAGAGGCGCAAGTCGAGAAAGTAAATCAAGTTAAATGATTGGGAGTTTATCGTCAGAAATGTGGCAAATATGAGCAGAAGTATACTGGTGAAACAGGAATAAGTTCAGCCTAGCTATAAAGAAACACCAAAGTGTCTGTGGAAATATGGATTAAGAAAGCTCAGAAATAGAGGAACACAAACAGGACAGGAGCTCAACTGGATGACACCAGAAAGACTAGTTGCATATGATGGAACTAAAAGAGGACGCATTATTAGAAATGCCATCGAGATCTTAATTGACGGAAATATAATGAACAGGGGACTGGAATAAGGCAGAATGGACAAACAATTCTCGTAAACAAGCAAAGATGAGATTAAGAAGAGGTAATAGCACAAAATGGGGACATTTAGATCAAGAAAATAGTTTGAACCGTAAGAAAGTGAATCAAAAGCAAGAGGTTCACAAACAACGAACGGAAATCAAACAAAGATGTCTGCAGTTGGCCTAATCAAGCCGAATAACCAGTTAGAATAGTTGAAGGGTTGGCGATAAGGGACTAGGGAATAGGGGAGTCATAGATTTGGCATTTTGGATAGAATATATGCGAAGATAAATTGGGTTTCGATGAATCTCTTGTTTCATAATTGTTGAGCTTACTTCCATTTCGAGTGAACGTGTTGGGTGTAAAAGTGTATAAGTTTTCTTGACTAGTTAGCTTGAATTCTGTTGTGACGATGATACCTTGCTCTGATGATGTTCGTAATATGACGGACGAAAGCTTAGCACCTTTTCAACAGAGTCAGCATGAATGTTCCAGTAAAGCCAATCGACAGATGGACAAGAGGAAGCCGCCGTCATCTTCTGGTGGAACCGACCTTCGAATCTCTACCCAAAACTTTCACTCAAAATGGAAGTAGGCTCAACAATTAAAGAAGTGGGTTGATCTCGTGGTCGCAACTTGGTCTTGTTGTCATGCGACTTAGTAGAACGCACCTAGTCCGAAGTCGTCTGCCATAATAGTTATCATGATTCCCAGCATCAGACAGTGGACTTGGTACATTCTCAAACGTTTCGCCAACATCATCAGTGAGTTTTGCCATTCTCCGCACCAAGCTACGAACTCGTCAAAGAGACAAGTGAATTCAATTCATCGACAAACGAATCAAGGAACATCAGAGGCTTGGCAGGAAAATGGATACCGAAAGATCAAAACTAGCGGAACACATTGCATAGACTGGACACGAGATTAAATGTGAGGGCAACAGAAAGAAGGACCCCATACAGTGACAGTGATAGGCGTCCACAGTTTGGTCAGATAACATGGGTTTAAGGAAGAAGAGGACATGTAAAGAGAAGGCTTGCGATCTGCAAGCATGACAATCAGAGCCTAAGCGCTCTGCTCGTTGAGGTGACAGTGTACGTGATTCTAGGGTCTTGAGAAATAGCGCCTGGAGTGAAACGCACACTGGGACTGGAACCGAGTGAAATCGGTCAACCAGAAAGAGAAGGAACGGATCTACGAGGCAATGACAGGATCCGGATTGGAGGCCCGAGTGGAATAAGCCCATTGAAAGAGAGGGGTCGGGGTAAATGGCAAGTGTGATGAGGCCACACTCGGTTTGCCACAAACGGGCACACATTTTGACTAATGTAATGTAAACAAGTGACAAGTTGTGATAGGGCGGCAGTGGGATAAGAGTAGATAAATAGGCCAGGACAGAAAGGGGAGTGATAGTGTGACCGTTTTCGACAGAACGTTTGTCGAGGGATTGACTTCCCTTGTCTCTTTGACGAGTTCTTAGCTTGGTGCGGAGAATGGCCAAACTGACTGATGATGCCGACTACGATGCCGGACTTGAGAATGTACCAAGTCCACTGTTTGATGCTGGGAATCATGACAACTACTAAGGCTGACGACTTCGGACTAGGTGCGTCCTACTAAGTCGCCCTGACAACAAGATCAAGTTGCGAATACGAGGTCAACCCACTTTGATAAATCGAAAGTAGGCTGCGACAATACCAGAGGCCAAAACATCTTGGTCTTTATAGCTTCAACAATTATGGATAGAAGTTCGAGGCCAATCGACCAGAAGTCCATTCAAGAGTTGCGACGACGACTAGAGGCATTTGGTTCATGGTACATGGGATTGATCATGACGATGGTCCGCGAGGTAAAGGTCTGAACATGAGATTTACCCGATGCACAGGCTTAACTGAAGTAAGAGAAATTGAGGTATTAAGATTGTTTGTCCTCAAATTTACAAGTTCGGGCTTTGGAAGTCTGCTCTAGTATCCAGTCTAGCAATCGCTTGAGACAGATCATGGGAAATAACGACTCAAACAGCACTGATAAGGTGATAGTGGTCGAGTGAAACGGAGGGATAGAATATAGATGAAATAGATTTCAGACTAAACGACCAAGTTTGATCAGCATTTCCAGCTTAATGGGAGAGAATAAAGGAAACTGCAGGAAGAGTAATTATGCCTCACAGAATCCCCTTGAAAGGAGGCATCTCTGGAACAGGTTAAAAAAGACAAGTTAGGGTGTGTGATAGTGAAACGGGCGATAAAAGTATATGAGATAGGTGCATGCACCATGACAAACTGACTGGCAACACAACTTTTCAGTAAAAAGTGGGTCAATGTATGGACTTCAATGCCTCATTGCCGAGTTGTAATTCTGTACTAGGAGTAGCAAAGCCTACTGACGATGCTGATTATAATAATGTCGCAAAGTCTGGAAATCTACCGAGCTCACATTCCGACTCTGGAAATTATCATGCCTTGTATGACGGAGGACTCGGGACAAGGTGCGTTAAGCTAGGTTGCTTTGACAACACGACTATGTTGAGAAAACGAGGTTAAATCATTTCAGCTATACTTTTAGCTTCACGCTTCCATTTGGAGACAATTGCGTCAACGTTGTGCGTCATATTGTAAACATAAGTAGTCCATATGCGCTCGGGTTCATGCGGCAATATCGTGCTATCCATACAAGCCAATTTCTGAACTGTGGTTACAGATTCAGCCTTGAGATTAATTACATCGTCCAACACCTCCCTCTTCATCACACTTAGTTTAGCGTGTGTCTGAAGGCCTATATGTACTAAATGGATCAGCACACGTAAGACCTATAACTGTCATAAGCTTGTTATTTGAAAATAATTCATAATTATGTCGTGTTTAATCACGAATCATAGAGAAGCATTTTAAAAGGTCCTGGATTAGCAAGGATGAATACGAGTGATACATGTCTCTTTGACTTTTCGGAAGATGAAGTCTCATGATTTCCATGACTTTTTAAAA